GCAACACACACATCCCTGCAGTCTAAATTGGAACCGTTCAGAAAAAAAGCTTTAGTGTTTGATTCTGCTGATTTCTATAAGCTTAAGCAGATGGCGAACCTGTCATATAACTGCTTTGCCATATGCCCAAGCCTGTTTCTCCATCATGGTTTGCCACTTCCTAGATATACCCAATGCAAGTATGTCAGACCAGGTTGAAAAAAGTCAGATCTAGGGATGTGCATTTATTTCTAAACAAACGTGTCCCATTCAATTTCTATTCATTCCAAAGTGAATGGTGGTGGCAGCAGGTGAGCCGACCACAATGGCCACTCCTGGCAGCTTCCATCTGTCACTCACCCACCAAGATGCCCCACTAACCCCGGCAGATTACGTGACTGTAAGATACCCAGCGTAATTTAACAAATGTAATGAAAGGAGTGTGATTTCAACAAAGAAAAGGACGAGGTCTTTAATTACAAAAAGGAGTGTAGTTACAAAATGGGGAGGGAAAGAAAGAAGTCTTACAGCCTCCCTAATCAGATGTTGGGCACGTAGTGAATTTTTTTTTTGCTGATATCAGTGGCAGAACAGGGGAGGAATTGGAAAAGGCAAGGAAAAGTCAAGACCAGATCCAGGTGCTCTTGGAAGAAAACTGTTTTTCTAGATCAACTTCTATTGGGATTAAGTCCGGTTTTGGCACAGAAGCTGCTTTGGTTGCCTTGTATGATGACCTCTGTTGGGAAAGAGACAGAAGAAATGTATCCCTGTTAATTCTTGTTGACCTCTCAGCGGGTTTCAATATCAATGACTATGATATCCTTCTGGAGCGGCTGTCCAAGTTGCAGGTGGGTGGCACCACTTTGTGGTGGTTCTGGTCCTACTTAGAATCATAGAATCATAGAGTTGGAAGAGACCACAAGGGCCATTGAGTCCAACCCCCTGCCAAGCAGGAAACACCATCAGAGCACTCCTGACATATGGTTGTCAAGCCTCTGCTTAAAGACCTCCAAAGATGGAGACTCCACCACACTCCTTGGCAGCAAATTCCACTGTCGAACAGCTCTTACTGTCAGGAAGTTCTTCCTAATGTTTAGGTGGAATCTTCTTTCTTGTAGTTTGGATCCATTGCTCCATGTCCGCTTCTCTGGAGCAGCAGATGGTTGATACTTGGATGGTTGTTTCCAGAGGATGATGCTTGGGGAAGGCTCTTTGGCCCTGTGGAGTCTTCAATGTGGGGTTCCTCAGGGTTTGATTTTATCCCCCATGGTGTTTGGCATCTACATGAAACTGCTGAGTGGAGTCATCTGGAGTTTTGGAGTACATTGTCAGCAGTATGCTGATGACACACAGCTGTATTTCTCTTTTATATCTGCAGGCGTGGCAGTGGATGTGTCTGTCCAGTAATGGATTGGATGGCAACCAATAAACTGAGCAAAGCTCAGTCCAGATAAGGCTGAGGCACCATTAGTAGGAGGTTCCCTAGACTGGCTGGATGGGAGGTGGGGTACTTTGGAATCCATTGCTGTTGCTTGAGGCTCAGTTGGCCTCAACTGCATGGAGAGCTTTCCATCAGCTTTGGCTGGTGGCTGCGCCCCTATCTGCACAAGCATAGCCTAACGTCTGTTGTCTATGCTCTGGTAACATCTAGGTTAGGTTACTATAACACATTTTACATGGGGCTGCCTCTGAAGATGGTTCAGAAATTTCAGCTGGTGCAGAATTCAGTGGCCAGGTTGCTCACCAGGGCAAGACAATTTGAGCACTGAATGCCAATCCTGACCTGACTGCATTGGCTGCCAATTAGTTTCTGGGGCTAATTCAAAGTGCTGTTTTTGACCTATAAAGCCTTAAATGTCTCAGGACCGCAATACCTCAAGGACTGCTTCCCCTCATATGAACTGACCAAGACCCTGTGATCATAATCTGAGGCCCTTCTTTATGTGCCTCCACCAGGAAAGGTCTGATTGGCAGCAACACAAAAATTGAATTGTTTTTGTTTATTACTATGCTATTTTGTGTTTTCATATTTGTAAACTACCCCTGTGATCCTTGGATGAATGGCGGTATAGCAATTTAATACAGTGGTGCCCCTCAAGACGAATGCCTTGCAAGACGAAAAACTCGCTAGACGAAAGGGTTTTCCGTTTTTTGAGTCGTTCCGCAAGACGAATTTCCCTATGGGCTTGCTTCGCAAGACGAAATGTCTTGCGAGTTCTTGCGAGTTTGTTTCCTTTTTCTTTAAGCATCTAAGCCGTTAATAGCCGCTAAGCCGCTAATAGCCGTGCTTCGCAAGACGAAAAAACCGCAAGATGAAGAGACTCGCGGAACGGATTAATTTCATCTTGCCAGGCACCACTGTACAATGATAATATTTGAATGCCATATTGCCTTACTAGGCCACAGAGTTTGCCCTCGCCTCTTTGTGACCTTAGTAAGAGAAAGGTATACTAGGGATAGGAATCTCAAGGCCGAGGGCCTACTTCATACTTTTGCTCAGTCAATGTTATGAGTCACTGCCTCTGAATACCAGTTGCTGCAGATGATGAGTGGAAGAGTGCTGTGGTTGGTGGGCTTCTTGCTGAGTATCCAGTGAACAAAGAATGCTGGACTAGTAAGGCCTTTTGTCAGATCCAGGAAGGTGTGTCTTATGATCTTAACTTTTGATTCTGATGAGTCCACCGGTGCACAGAAAGTGCACAAACAAGCATGTGTTTCACTTCGTTCTCCACAGATTTTGCATTCAAAAATCTGCCCCTAGAAACGTTATCTGCAGAAAGACTTGGCTGCCAACTCCTTTCTTGGGAGCTCAGCAGTATGGGAGGGAAATGGAAAGAAGAATCTCGAATGAAAGTAACTGAGCTGGAATGGGTCTGGTAGGTCATCTCATCTAACCAACTGCTTAACACAGGAATCATATTGTGCTAGAGCATGCCTAACAGGAAAGAAGGCTATGCCAAGAACCATGCTTGCTATAGCCTACTTTTCCCTTAGACGGCCAAGAACCGCTTACTTGGGGCTTCAGTGGTCTCCCATCCAGGCAGAGATTCATGATTGTTTGGCTTCACCATTGCTATATTAGATGCTTCTGCGCTTGACCCAGCCTACTGAAATGTTAAGTGTTCTGCACTGTTCCAATAGCATAGAGCATATGAAGTGGGTGGTGGGAAAACTTTGGCCCTCTATATGTTGCTGGACTACATGTCCCATGAACCCCAGCCAGCATGGCCAACAATCAGGGATGATGGGAGCTGTAGTTCAACATCTAGGGGGCCAAAGGTTCCCCAACCCTGAAAACAATAACATATTTTGATGAGTTTCTGTGTTTTAAGTGCCATATACGTATCTGAAGATCCTGCTTTTAGCTTCAAGACAGGACTGTTTTCCTATGAAAGACTGATTTACGAGAAAAGCCAACTCATGATAGGCTGAACTAGTCAAATGTGGGTGGAAATTGCAACACTGCAGAGTGTTCTCTCTTGCTCCCTGTGCGTCCCCTCCCTCCACTTGTTTTGGCTTTGTCCCGCTTTCCTGCCCTCCACTAGAACAGGTCTGAACAAGCACTTGCAGAAAACCTGAAGTGAACTAATTCCATGCAGATGGATTTATGAACTTCAGTTAAGATCCACAGGTGACCCAAAAGCTGCCAATTCCTCCCCTCCAGCATTATGATCTCCAGGGCACCATTTGTCCTTAATGGTCCAATCATCCCTTTTCTTCTGTTGTGGGTTAAGCCAGTGGTTCTGAATGGTGGTCAGGTGCGCCGCAGGCCACATTGGCCTCTATTCCTCCCCCCTCCTTTGATGCCCTCTCAAGTCTCCGCTTCCAGAGGCTTGCACAGCTGTTTGTTGCAGTGGCCCTGGCTACAAGTTCTCCAGGCGAATCATGCCTCTGGGGCTGGCCAGGGGGTGTTGGTTGCCGGGAGCTGAGGTGGCCTTGGAGGAGAGGGGAGAGGAGAGGAGGCTGATGAAACCCTCCATAAAGGAGGGTGTCAAAAAGGGGGGAGAGGGGCTGACAGCTTGGCAGGCAAGGGGCAACATAACTGAGCTTCTGAGACTGGGAGCAAGCTGCCCTACAGGGGAGCTGCAAAAATAATGTTGTTGGTCAAGGGAACCGTCAACTCGAAAAGGTTGAAAACCTCTGGAAGCTTTAGGCAGGGACTCCAGGTCTTGAGCTTACATTAATGTCTAACTGAGTAGCAGAGCATTATTTAATTATTATAATTATATTATTATGATTATTTTAAAAAATGCACCAGAGACACTGTATCACTAAGAAAGCCAGTAACTTTACTGATTCGGCTGCAAAATACAAATTATACCTTATTTCCAGCAGGAGAAACATTTGAAATTTTCCCATTTTATTTATTTATTGTTCACTACAGACAGCTGAATTAAGTCCCTTGAGATTCACAGATGTGATTTTTAACTTGGTTATAATGTCTTGATATCTAGTGGCGACAAAGTCCAGCTTATGCCGCTGTGAGCCTCTTAAGTTTAATATTTCTTGCAAAACGCTCGTATGCCCCCATTTACAGGATGATTTCTTAATTATCGCTGATTTAATCAAAACAAATCCCCAGGAAAAGAAAATAGAAGCAAATCATCTGAAGCAATCCAAGTCAAATGCTTTGTGGTGCAATGTGAGCTGATGTCAGTGGCTCCACAGAGAGCATCGATGCTGGGGGTTTCATCTGTCATGGGGTTGACCTCTTTGAATGACACTGAGGCATGGGTCAGTCTGAGGGATGAACAGGGATGGGATGGTGAAGCCAAATGACCTGGTTATGCTCATAATCCAGCACGGAACATGATACAGGATGTATGGAACTCAACACTTGGATTGCTCCACATCTTTGGTTAAAGTATATTCACAAAAGCCTGTTATTAGCTAACAGTGAAGCATTCTCAACCGACCCCAATGTCCCACCACTCCTTCACGGGACCTGCAATGCCAGGAAATGGAGGCCACAGAAGTGAGGACGTCACTGCAGATGGCATAAAATGGGAGCAGATGAAGTATGCTGTGTTTAGGCAACAGCCTTTATTGAGGTTTCAAGTGGCTTTTTGGGAAACAAAGACAAAGCATTTGCCTTCTGGGGGAAGGAGAAGAGAAAGGAAACAAAAACCACATATGTTGTGTCTACTAGGGAAGATGGGCCTAAGACAAATGCAAACAATAAAAAGGGGTTCTTGACATTCTTGCAAACAGCGTAGCAGTTGTTTTATTCTTGCTTTTAGCTTTGCCTGAAAAAAGCTCTGAGAAACAGCAGATATCTTTATATTAATCATTAAAAAATTTTAAATTCCGCTTCCGGGGAAAATAGAAACCATTTGGTTACAAAAAACAACTTTGAAAAAACATTGAAATGATTAAAAAGACTTCACCGGGAAAGGCATCAATGCATACAATATACAAATTTGTGCAGATTGTGTATATCATATCATTGTCACCAGCGATTAGGTTTAATAACGTCATCGACAAGGCTTTCCCAAATAAGGATCAGCAAGAAAGGGAGGAGATTCCTCTTAAGGGATCTCACGTTGCCTATACCTTTGTACTGCCTGGGTTGAAGTAAATCTTAATCCATTCTTGGGGCGCTGCCCCAAACTGCTTAAATATAAAGGAATCACACAATAAGCCCAAAAAGTAGCTTTGCAAATGCAATAGATGGTTAAGGTACAGATAAAAGGAACAGTTAAAGATAGACAGTTAAAGTTTCTAGAAAGCGACATCACAATTAAAAGTTGTGCTTCTTTATTAATTAACTCCATTTACAATTATGAATTAACCCTCACTTCTTGCCCCTATACTTCACTTTAGCTCAGTAGAGGAAAGAGGAGCGAAAACACGTCTATTTCCACACAATTCAGTTCTGTGGCTGTATAAAAACCAAGGTTTTAACTGCAAGAGATTGCCTAGCTGAGTTGCATGAGCTTGTTTACACTGTTACCTACTTTCACACAGGTACAATGCGGTAAGTTAACATTACACTTCTCTTCAGAAGCTCAAGTGTTATCTCTCCCCCCCCTTGTTGTGTAGCTGAGGCAGCTGTACGGTAAACTATTCATATGGCTATTCTTCAGACTCAGAAGACTGACCCCATCAGCCCCATTGACAAATTACTACCAACAATACTGAAAAACCAAATATTGTTTCTCTCTCCCTCTCATTTTGTTTCAACGACAAGGTACAATTGTGACATATTTGCATATTTAAGACACATCTAAGTTGAAAGTTCCCAAATGGAGAATGTGACTATTGGTATATGTCAAGGTGAGGGATATAATTTGGCAGATGTCTCGAAAAAAATCAATTATTGGCCCCATTCTCACTTTCTTTTAATGCCTGCGTATCTTTTGTAAATCACCTGTAGGAATGATGCATGATCAGCTGTTTTTCTGTGCTTGGAATATGTGGTCTCAGCATGCTCCTAAGATTTTCTGTGCCAGCCAATAAATACTTAGGAGGGGACCAAGCAATTGTTGAACCAGCTCATCACCCCAAATGGCAATGCTACAAGCTGTGGTAGTAGGCAGAGACACAGGTGCAAATGTATACCTGCAAATAGGTCTAGAGTAACATTCATGATATGAGAAAAAAATGGGAAGTTTCACCTATGTTGTTCATGCTTATTATTGGGGGTTGTTAGGAGTGAACAAAAGCATGTTACTATTTGCGATGGGTGGCGTAAACCAAGCTTATACAGTTCACCTCTGTCTACTAAACCTATGAATCTACATCAGCATTGGTCCAATGTAAGATGGATGTTTTGCATACAGGTACATGTCATAGTGCAATTCTCGCTTGTGACACTGAAAAAGTATTGCTGACTAATGAGCAGTGCACAGCAAGAGTGTTTATTAACAGGTAATAAAGGACAGGAGGTCCTCCATTCTCTCCACTCTTCTTTATACTGGCAAAATATCTATGTGGGAGGTAGGGAAAATTTAGGAACAGCAGCGGCACCAGCTGACTTACGTCACTGAAGTAAAAGAAATTTACAGTACTTGGCTTTCTAACTCGTATTCCACCTTCCCAACTGAGAATATGTGCTGCATCGCTTGCAGAGCTCAGCAAGGCTGATATGCAGGACCTGTTTGGACTGCCCAGTGTTGTGATGAAGACAAAGGGTGTATTGACCTGTTTGCAGAGTGCCTTTCTTATCCTACCAAGAAGCTACATAGAGCCTCACCACCATCACACACACATCTGGGAATAGAGGGACAAGATTCCTAACAAGCCTCAGTCTCAGGATTATTATTATTATTAAAGAAAGAAAATGAATTAACTACCAATCACTTGCCACTGAAGTTCCACACGAGAAGGAAAAGATGCATTCAGAATGAATGACGCTCTCTTTCACGCAGTGCTATTTCTGCTTAACAAAACATGTCATTTCATAAGGGACAAACTCAATGCTACATGCAGGTGTAAGTTCCTCCTAACATTATAATTTTTTTTCCTTTAAAGAAAAGAAGTCTCAAGAGGCAGCCATCAGAACAGAAATGGCGGGTGGAGAAGAGGTCCTTCACTTCCCCCCTGTGGGACATGTTTCTACTTGACAACCGCACTTGCTCTCCTCCATATTGGGGTGATGGTGGAATGAAGGTTTGGAAATAGCACAACATGGCTATTCTTTTTGCATGGTCACGAAACTGTGGGATGCCTAAAACTGAGGCAGCAATTGATTGGGACTTAAGGACATCTTGTCTGCTCGTGACAAAGGCAGTGCAAAACATGACTGCTCTTGAGCGGAACCGTCAGCTCCTGTTACTCACTAAGAGTTGCTGGGTCAGACCTGCACGCTCATCACTTTCTGAATGCAACACGAGACTAAGTAAAGATCCCAACACAAATGCAATACTTTTCACTGCAGATGGATCACCCATTCTGCTTTGAGTCACCATAATGCTGCATGACCAAGACTGTCATCCTATACCCCATTTACCTGGCAGTCATCTCCACTGAAGACTGTGCTGCAAGTGATCTATATGCATATATAAATCAGGCCTCGGGTTCCACCAGCTCATCTTTGCAATGAGCTTTAGAACTGGTGTGCTGCTCTTCCTGTCCTCCATTATTTTTGTCTAAGCGGGAAGAGATATTCCACACTTGCATGCCAAATCACATTTCTGAGGTAACGTAACCTTCCTTGGGTTTAAAAGACCCTTACGCTTGGGATAGCACCTCCCCTTTTAGGTAACTCCTTATTGGATTTTTATATTTACTTCCACTTCACTTTGAAGCATGGGAGTCTGAAGGAATTTTCCCAGGGTGGCGGTGGCAATGGAAAAGGATATGAAATGCGGAGCAGGCTAGTTTCTCACAAAAAAGAGAACAGTGCCTGTTCATTTTGCCTCCTATCTCAGGTCCTAAAAATGCTTTAAACTTCATCTTTAAAAAAGCTGAGGATCAGGATATTATGGTTCTTCGGGGGGGGGGGGACTGCCTCCTTTGCCTTCTCCCACCATGGATGTCTATGCTTTGAAGGATGCTATCCTAAACTTCCTTTCTTTTTTTCTCCAGGTTGCAAATCAGAGCAAATCTGATGAGGATGCCACTTTTGATGAATTTATGGAATGAAGGCCAAGCTGAGCCAGATCATGTTGTGATCAATATTTGCAGAAAGCCACAAGTTACGCAAGACATAAATAAAGTAAGAAGAGGGCCTCAAATGTGTAGATCAGTAGGATGGAGCTGATCAGTATATATAATGGATCAGAAAACTGATGGCAGATGGATTAGAATTATATGGGCTGCTATAGGAAGGGGGGGGAAATCTAATCTTTTGCAGATTAGCCTTCAACAGCTGACTGATTCTGTAAAATGTATGCAGATTAAAAGAAAAACCAAAAGGAGAAAAAAATAGTTACTTAAATGTGCAACTGCACAAATATAATTCCCCCACTATTAAGATAACAAAAAACTTCTGCTATTACCATAATTATTATATATATTAGAAAGCTATACACAAGCATGTTAATTTCACAGATTTTTTTTAAAAGATTCTTAATATTTTATATAATTAGAAATACACATTTCAAAAACAAAACTTCTGCAAAGAGAAAACAGTTATCTTGGTTAGCAAAGCATGGAGTTCTTCATGGCTTAGGGTAGTGCTTTCTATACAAAAACAAAAAGTCCCCTTTTGTTTCTTTCAGGGATGTTTAAAATATTGGCGAAGCTATGAAGGGGAAAAAACACATTTTGGCTTAAGTAGACTACAAAAAGCCACAATGCTTTGCGAACTCTGTCTTACTTTTTAATATGAAAATAAGGAAAATGTAATTTACATATTTTTATATTTTTATTTAATAAGTGATGCAGACCCAGAATTTTAAAAATTAAATAGGTTAGCCCTCAAACTAATTTTTTTTTACAAGTATGGTTCTCTTTTAAATGCCATACTCCAATAATACGCCAACATATTTGTGTGCATTTCAGATATATTAGGTGACCAACCTTTTTCTTTTTTTACTTGGTCACCCAATTTCTGGGTCTCCCAAAACGTCTGTACATTTTCTATATGTTGCATAACAGCTGCTTTCTCTCTCAGTAAAGATCTGCCACCGTTGGGCAAAAAACGTTTCCTTTTTTTCTCTTTTTTCCACCTATTTACATGTAAATAACGTTGAACCTGCAACATGACACTATCTATTGTAACATACATTTTGCAAAGGAGCACAACAGTGAAAAGAAGTTAACCTTAAAACCTATTTTGTACAAGTGTTCTGTTGTACAACTCAAGTGCGAAGCTTATCTCAGCATTGCTGTTTATCTTTAATATGGTATCACTGAGGCAATTTAAAAGTACTTTTACAAAACAGAGTACCTGACTTTCCCCCCCGCCCCCACACGCACAGCACATATAATGCATATCGACCCCCTCCCGCCCACCCTCTTCCCCATTAAGGTATAGCACACGCACACGCACACACACACTGCAAGGAAAAAAAAACCCCTAATAGCTAATAATGTTATCATGTTGCCCATCCTTCAGACAGCCTCATGCGTTTGACAGAGGGGCTTTCCCTTTCGTCCGGCGAAGGTCTGGTGAGTCCAATGGGAGAGTGGAATTCGTTCCGGTGATCCTCTCTATCGCTTCCGTCATACGAACTACTGCAACTGCTCAAGCTGTCAACAGGGGATCTTCCCGCCTCGTGACGCGTGTGCTGTGGGTATCTCGAAGGTGTGGTGGTACGGTCTCTAGGAGGAGAAACAGGTTCTGACTTGATGTTGAGGCTTTGAGTAGAAGGCAGGGAGAGATTTGCATTCTGAGATAAATGAGTGCTAGTGCAAGCTCTGTAGGAGGAAAGGAAACCCAGTTACAGACTGAGGAGGCAGAGCCCCCCGGAAATGCACACGTAACACAAAACAACAGCTCAAAGACTCGAGGCCGAGACTGGGGCATGCCAGGAAGTGAGGAGGGCAAGGGGTGATATTATTTACAGAGGCAGAAGTGGCCCCATTGCAGTGGAGCCATAACCCTACTCCCTGGCAGTGGTGGGGAGGTCAAGGCTGTGTGGGCTCGCTTGTGGGAATGTGGGACTGGCGCCACTGGTGCGCCCGCACAGCTCTAGCCTCCCTCAAGTCCTTCTCAGGAAGTGGCAGCAGGGCTGCTGCCAGGAAGCTAGTGTTGCGGCTCTGCCCCGCCGGGCCGTTTGACCTCGCCTTGATGCCTGTTGAACTGCAAATCATTGTGGCTGCTTTGGGAAGAGGTTCGAGCCAGGATGCGGCAAATTAAGAAAGGTCAAAACTCAGACCACACTTTCCAAGAACAGTGAGAGGGATCCACACTCTGTACTCTCTAGTGCACTCAAAAGATTAACCTGGATGTGGGAGGGGGAGATTTAAATCCTTGCTCAACCAAGTTCTCGGAAAATTCTCTGGTGGTTCAGATGTAATGCTAAACTATGGTTTAATGTTTACATGAATGAACACCAGCGAGCCTTGGACTCATGGGCTCTTTCCCTCCTCTCCTCCTCCAGCTTGTTGTATGTCAACAAACCATAGTTTAAAGTAATCAGAACTTGGAGTAGAGGTGAGGCAGAAGCCTGCAAGCCCAGGCCTTGTTCATAAACGATGGTTTAGCATTACTTTTAAACTGGGCTATTATCTCGGGTTCTTCCAACATTTTAAAAATAATTTCCCCCTTTCTATGATGATAGCCCTATCCCCAAGTCCTGCTTCAGAAGCTCAATAACCATACAAATGGAAAGGGGGTGGGGTGGGCTATGGAGGGAAAGGTTTGCTATTTTTAAACAAAATTAAAAATACAACAGATGTAGACTATTAGTGGTGGAAAGAGGGTCTGTGTGCTCAGTGAAAAATGGCACCTAGGAAAATAACATCTACATCTCTCTATGCCTATATCTATATAGCTACTTTAAAAAGTGTGTGTGTGTGTGTGTGTGTGTGTGTGTGTACTGATGAATGCATGTACACACACGCACTCCCCCCCCCACAAAAAAGCTGTAAAACTACTGTGTTCCAGTGGTGTCACGGGCAACAGCCAACATGCTCCACAACAGAAATTACATCTGTGGAATTACTCTTTGCCTGCCTCTTCAGAGGAGGGATCAGGCTGTCCTGATTTCAGCTTGAAGTGCACTGAAAACCAGTATGACAAAACCAATTTGATGAGACTTTGCTATGGGATGGGGCTGTGTGTGTGTGTGTGTGTGTGTGTGTAGAAACGTATGTCGATACTGCTGTCAGCAATGGCACTATTCTGTCACACCCACTGCTCTACTTCTGAATAAAACCTGAAACCTGACAAACCTTATAGAAGTGTCGTGAGAGTAAATGAAAGATAAGAATTCAAAAGCACTCGTTTCAATTAAAGAGACTCGTTCAGGTTGGCAGTTGCAGAATGCGCAGGGCCACCCCGAGAGCTGTTTGCTCTTTGAATATCTCCCGGAGCAGGTGCATGAGTTCAATGGGAAGTATAAATTAAATGTTGACGGTAGGAAACAGTCTGATACGATAGCTGTGTGAAATGTCTAAATTAAAGCGAGATTTAATGCCTGCGCTACGGAGTTTCTTGCATCTAAAGGCAAAGACTGTTCAGATGCCCTCCAACATGTTTAAGGAACCTGTGAGATGGGGGAGCTGCATCTTTAAGCCACAACCCCAACACTGTTGACTATGCCCCTCCCCTTTCCCAGTAACCCTGAATGCAGTTGGCTAGAGCAGTGTTTCCCAACCTTGGGCCTCCAGCTGTTTTTGGACTACAACTCCCATCATCCCTAGCTAGCAAGACCAGTGGTCAGGGATGATGGGAATTGTAGTTCAAAAACAGCTGGAGGCCCAAGGTTGGGAAACACTGGGCTAGAGCACAGTTAGTGGGTGCTATACCATTCTGCCCCTTAAAGGTTCAGTGGATGTTGTGTTTCAGTGGCGTAGCGTGGGTTGTCAGCACCCGGGGCAAGGCAAGTAATTTGCGCCCCCTAACCCATGGGGGTAGGGGGCGCAGGTAGGGGCAGAGAGCTGCGAGTGCAAGCACGCCCCCCCCGATGTTGCGCCCGGTGCGGCTGGCCCCCCTGCACCCCCCACGCTACGCCACTGTTGTGTTTATCTGAACAGCTCTGGAGACACTGACCATTTACGCTGGCCAATTACGAGTGAAATCTCGCTCCGGAACCATGCATCAAACTGAACTTTCAGCTTGCTCCTACTTAAATTTGATGTGGGCTTGATGTGCTTTGCACATGGTGGCCCTGTGTCAACCTTTCTGAGCATAGATTTGGTTGCTCCTTTGAAGTGAAATGAAAAGTTATCTGCAGGGGAGACTCCACTTGTGCATGAATATTTGCACCCGGCTCTGGCAATCTTAGTGGGACACCCTCCTGAGCCAAGAACTGGAGGATTGTAGCCAATATCTATCAAAATTTCTGCAAAAACGCAAAAATGATGCTTTATCTCATGTGAACACATTTGTACTTGGAATGATGTGGCGGTGCTTTTCTCACTAATTGTCACAATGTTTAATAATGAATGGCTATTGTTAGGCAACAAAGAGAGAACCGAACGCTGCATGGGTAATTGCTTTCATCTGCCCAGCATTCAGCAGATTTTTGTCAAAATTGGTGCCGTTATCTTCCCAAACAGAAAGGACAAGTGTGTTGGCCCTACAGTTGCGATTGTGTGAGGAGCAAACGGAAGTGCAGCATTTCCTCTGATAGGCATTGTTTGGGGCTCCTGAAGCCAATAAACTCAGGATGCAACCCCACGTACACTCTCTTGTGAGTTTGCCCAACAAGTTTCCCCCACAAGCTCGGTGGGGCTTGCTTCTGAGTAAACATGCTCAGGACTGGGCCACAATGTAGTTAAAGTACTGTGCCATTAGGGAAAGAAAATTGGTCAAATGAGCCATTGAAAATTTAAAGGCATTTCTTGATGCTGTAAAATAGCTTTATATAAAACATTTTCAAATCTGTAAAAGTTTTAAAACACCAGAATGATCCACTTACAATACAAATTGGTGTGATAGAGAAAAATGCAGGATGCACTTGTTATTTTCAGAATTTCTTATTTACTCACACACTCAAGTAACTCTTTTTTATTCCAGTGTCTACTGTTTCTTATCCCCATCAGATTAGAATGTCATGCTGGATAGGGTAGGTTTAATAAAGGTTACATTTGCACCTACAAATTTGTATTGTTTCAAGAAACTCTTTTTGTTCCAGTGTAATTCACTTTTTTCCAATAGTATTTCTGTTGTTACCCTACTTAGTATGGACAGGCTTGTTGGTTGCCCCTCTTTCTCCCCAAATTTATCCGAAGGTGCATTATACTGTATTTATGAAAAGCACTGCTTATTTTTAGAACAAAGGAATTAATGCATTCTGAAATCTATTGAATAATCTCTGCCCCCTGAGTACCTAATATTATTCAGTGGATTTGGTTTCTGTTGATTTCCAAATTATTTTTCTTAGTAATTGTCTGTTTCTAATATGTTTAAACCAGCCTATATACCAGCTTGGAGATTATACCAAGCCCGAAAGCTTAATACTCAGTTTCACTAACCTTTCTTCTGGCTTGAAAAAAAAAGCTCTTTCAATTCAGGGGTGTCTTGTGGGATCACTGAAAGTGTGGTTAAAGGTCGCCCCTAAAGTTAAAGTGTGGTTAAAGGTTGCCCCTAAAGTGCTGGTTTCTGTCAAAGTTAGAATGATGAAGAAAGAACAATTTTTTCCAGGTAAAATTAGGGCAGTTATTTTATGACTGCATTGGAAATTGAGGATAGTGCATGGCATTTCTTTGAAGGCTTGCAGATGGTTTAGCATTTAATTATTACCTTGCTTCCTCAAACAGACAGGCTTGTTGCTACATCTTATGGTGAGCTACTGAAAGCAATTTGTTCATTGATATTAATGCTACTTGGCACAGGCTTTTTCAATTCTTACATCAAGCCTGTCCCATTCATGGTATGTAGAAGTTCAGATCATATGAAACGTCAGCAATTCAGCTTTTTTCCTCTTTTTCATTGTGTATTCTGCAATTTTGTTCCATTACAGTTGTGCAAATTTAGTAGTTTGTTGAAAAGTTTCAAACGTTTGCAACAGGCTTCATTCCTTTCAAGAAAGAGCTCTCCTGCAATAGCCACTAGAGGGCAGGAACGGATGCCCTTTAACTGGGAAAGAAAACTGAGCTTTGCTTGCAGGCATTTAGATTGTGTTCCTAGAATGCAATTCCAAATAAGTGAAATGTGCTTGTACGAGGATGGCCAGATAAACATAAGGGTTAACGTGAGGTCATTCGGCAACACATCAGGCAAAGATACACAGCAAACCGGTAGAGCAAAGTGTTAAAAGGTTTGAGTGGTGCTAAAGCTTTAGTTAAAAAAAAGTAGAGAGATATATTAGAATTCTAATTAGTGAAACAACCTTTGTGTTAATAGACTGGAGAAGGGCTGGGGTGGGGAGTAAGGTTGCATTTGAACTGCCTTACCTGCATTCAGGTTTTGGATATTTAAAATATGACTTTTAAGCACAGTTGAAATCAGGGGCAGATTAACAATTTGGAAACTGCCTTATAGCAGAGTGCAGGCATAACTCTTCATCTCATGGGTTCAAGCCCCATGTTGGTTGAAAGATTCCTGCACTGCAGGAGACTGAACTAGATACAGTTCTGCGATTCTTTGCCCATTTCTCCCAGGGCTGTCTATCCTGCCTAGCAGTGGCTCCCCAGAATCTTAAGCACAAAACTTTATTATCTGCAACTTAATCCCTTCTTAACTGGAGAGGCCGGGGATTGAACCTGGAACCTTCTGCATGCAATGCTCTCCCCCCCCCCCCGGTCCCCAACTCTAGATCCTTACGCTCTGCAAACAGAAAATAATAGAAACTGCTTGACCTGAAAAGCATCTGAGTATTAACAACATGCCTCCCGCATAAGGGATTCCTGTCCATCGCTATAGTGGCGCAATGACAGGCCACTTCTGGACATGGGTTGTTATTGCTGCTCCGAGCCAAGGGAAGAGAGGGAGGGAAGGGGGGGAAAGCCCTCCTCAACAAAGCAGCCCAATCTCAGGTGGAGCCAACACTTCCACACCACGGCAGTTCAGCTGGAAGAGACTATGGGGCAAGCAAACTCAGTCAGAAGTGGGCAGGGAGTCTGGACACACTGAACTGCACACACCACAGGACTTCAGTGTGACCAAATGACAGACATCCTGCATATCTGCATGATGTATCCATCACTGACATGTCCCGGGCTGGCCAGTTTATTATTACATGTTAAACTTGGCTTTTCAAAGGAAAGGGGCGTTCTCAGTAGCTTGCAAGCAGCAGAACAACTTTTATTCATAGAAGCGGGAATATGCAAAGGGGATGGTGCCAGGACTGCCAGGCTTCATTTAAAGACCAGAAGTGACTTGGAACTATTGTCTGCCAGCATGGGGAGGAGAAGGGGTAAGATGGCAGAGAGGTGGGTGTCGATTTATTCTATTTATTGGATTGGCCACACCGACCTCCCTGCAGCCTCACCTCTCTCCCTTCCAGGAGGCAACAGTGCCTCACCTGCTGGGAAACTAGCATCCCGGCTCTGACTGTGAGCCACTTCTGACAAGGCCAAAGCAGATTCTGCCTCTCTGACAAGACTGTGGTCTCCATCTCCTCTGCATGCTACACCCTCCAGAGTCAGCATTTGCATAGGAGAATGTGGATCCTGTTCTCTGATGCTTCTTGGTACTGAGCTGGGTGACCCCTTGTTGTTAATTCACCCCGGACGGGACTGTGCTGCTATATATCAACTCAAGAGACAGGGGTCTGCCCTGGGGGAACAGCCATTCTTGTTTCACTCGGACCACCACGATGCAATATTCAGGAGCGCACAGCACTTGCTGATGTAGTGACTTACCCCAGCTGACTGAGGGCAGATGGTGGCATGTTATGTAGGTGTTGTTGTTGCCAGCCGGTTACTGAGCCCAGGTGGAGAGCGCTGGCAGTGTTAAAGCCAGAGAGCGATGACAAATCTGCACTGCTGAGTGAGTATTCTAGGTGCAAGAACAGAAAACATGCCATTATTTAAAAGTCATGGGAAAACCTGATATACACTTACAGACCTAAGCATTTGCTCTTTCAGTTGATAAGCCATTGTGCCTTTAGTACTCCTGTGGTATCAAGCTGTATCCATTGCCCCAGCAAAAGCTTAAATTTGGGTTGTTATCTTGGGAAACAAATGCCAACTGAATCAGATTCTCTGTATTCCTGGAGGACAATTTTTAAATTTTGTGCATACATTTGTTACCATCAAACACAAATGTATGTTGAAACAGGAGCTAGCAACCCATTCACCCCAGAGTCATCTTATTGAGTATGGCCTGAAGTGAACAGGGCTTATTGAGGATCACTGGGAACTACAAAGTGAGAATAACGTTGGCATCCATGCTCACAGGCCAGCAACCTCTGAGGCTGGGATCTCATCAAGGGACCTCCCGTGAACTTTGTATGTGCAAGCCTTCAGGTGCAGAAAGGAACAAGGCTGCAAAATGTAAGCTCTTGCAGTCTGAAGACTGGGGTGAATTCTAGGAGCCCGGCCTTCAGCTTGGCCAGATTAGCAAAACGCTTCTGTACTTAAGGGTCCAGTGTTTGGAGATCCTGCGCTGAAGAGTGTCCCTTCCAGGTGAGGATTTGGACACATCTAACCACAGCCCAGCCTGGCCCTGACAGACTGTGCAAACAGATGGGTCCAATTTCAAAGGTGAGGTGTGCTGCTACCACTTTTCGACCACACCTTTCTGCTGCACAAATGGATGCAGTGTGGGAGTACAAAAGAGGTACGACATGAATTGGACAGATGCACAGCGGAGCACAACAGAAATAGCACCGAATACTTGAAAACCCCAAGAACTGGGTAAGCATCAGGTAAGAACTGTACCTGATGCCTGGTGGTGAACACCAGTTTTAAGCTTCTACAAAAGCTGTAGAGCAAATGCTGAAAATCCAAGTGGCTCACTTAACGTAATTTCTTATTGTGATGCACAATAAAAAAATACATCTCTATTCCTATGATTCAGTAGACAATTTATTTATTCCTGCATTTTCTGCCAGAATGGCACTCAGAGAAGTAGTGCACAAGAAGACCTTTTGGTAGTACTGAGTAGTACTGTCAATATCTGGCTTTTCTCTCTCCCCCCACCCCCCATCTACATTGCTTACATCTTATGTGGAAACTTACCGGTACCATATGTTGTTGAAATGGCTGATGGGTATCCTCCCATCCCTTGCCCTGGCAAAGTAGGAGTTGCCACGGAAACCACTGGGGTAGCCAATGACTGAGCAGACTGAGAGTTATTTATCCTCTGATTCTTTTAAAGTAAGTAAAATAAACATATTAATGGCAGGGTGCAAAACAGTCGAAATGAGCTATATTTAGGTGTCAGATTTGTTCATACGATATACGACTGTACACAAGATTTCACAAAATTAATCATTTGTCGTTTGGCTTTTATGAACTCTGCCAATCCTTATGATTTACAATCTTTCAAGAGACCACTTGTCTCCATAGTAACCCATTACATCAGAATCTCCTAGGTAACCAAACTAGTAACATATAAGATTCGCCCTCACCCCACCCTGACACACAAGTAAGCCAACAGGCTATGATGATAACTAATTATATGTAACTTGCATTGTTTAGGTTTTTTAAAAATCTGGTTGCAAAATATTATTAAAATGACAGTATTTCATCCCAAGTTAGCCAAGCTTTAAACAAGTAGCTATATATGATAGCTTTGTCACAATGCAGAAGAGCACTGAATGGACACTTGATTGAAAGCAATGCAGTGCAGATAGACTGCACATGTACATGGATGCACACCTAATTCACACCCACAGTTCCTGGCCCAGCAAGTGGCATGTGTACAGAAGCACGCTTACACACACAGATCTCTTTCAGAGTGTTGTATATTGCAAATAAGCAAGCCACTGTATATGAAAGCGTAAACCTGCATGTTCACTTTCCAACAGCAGATGGTGCTGTGACCACTTCATTTTCATCAATGGCAAAAGTTACTTGAAGGATATTCAAACTATTTTTGGTGTGGTTTTTTTTTAAAGGATAAGATGTTTCTTATATTTTCTTGGTGTTGGCTATTAACATGCAAAAATTCAGCCTGGGATACTTAAATGTACAGAGCATTCAATGTGAATATATGAAAGTTGGGGAAATCGGAAGATGAAATCCCTAGAACAGCAATATTCTTTCTAAACAGGAAGAGGATTCAGAATCACTCCCAACTCTTGAATTATAGGACCTGATAGAAAGTAACATGGCATTAAAAAAAAATTTCTGATAAAACTTTTCATGGTAAAGAAGCTTTCCTACTAGCTCAGTGAGGGCTGGCAAACAAACTGTCTTTGCATTACTAAAACAAGGATCATTCTCACTTACCAAAAGCAGATCAACATCCTCAGACTGACAGCATAAGAAAGGAGGATGAATAATTAGCAAAAGCAGGTATTCTAAAGTGTGCCACTTTGCTATTCTACAAGGCATAGATCTATTTCAAAGCATAGCCGGGGTGACCCTCTCTTTCTCTCTTAAACTGCTTACTCCAGAGTAATCTCGCCATGCAGTAATAACCTGAGCTGCTCTCAGTAAATGATTTGAAGCTCACAGGGCCTGTCTCTGCTGAATAAAGCCTTGCATTTAGTACCTCCATACATTTGCCTCAAAGGTGAAGACTAGCTTTCACCCCAACCAAGTCTTTGTCTTGTTAATCCAGCCCCAGTGGCTGCAAAGTACTTGGTTTTCAGAGACCCCACCAAGAAGAGAACCCCTTGAAATCATTTGATGGAGATGCCATGTCACCACCTAAGTCGTCTGAAGAGCAGCCCCATGAGAGATTGTACTTATATCATTGCTTCCAGAGGGGAGTGCTGCATTTAGGGAGTTTTACCTTGAGTGCCAAATTTAATTCATAATGCATCATGCTAAGAGCGAAGATAGAACTGTTTATATTGCTTGCCATTTTACATGAAGAAAACAAATATTCTCTGCGTCACTTACATGTGCCACCTTGATCTTATTTATTTATTTATTTATTTATTTAGGGGCGGGGAATGCGGTGTGAAAGCCACACATTCTCCACCTTTAAAAACAATGGGGGTTGCAGGGCGGTATGTTTTCCTTTTAAATGGTAGATTTCGGGTAAAAGATTTACATCCCACTATGCTAATTTGTAGGGAATTAAAAGACACTAGCATGTCCCATGCACTTTTGATGGCTTGACAGTATCCTAGCTCTATTTTACATAATCTGACAACACCAAATTAATAATGCCCCCCCTTAAAAAACCCAATAATAACAGAAAGGATTTTTCCGTGAAGAATAATTGCTGTTTCCGATTATTGAAAAATGTGACCCTGGTTCCAGAGTGGAAGATTTAAAGCTTCACTTTTCAAAAAAACATCACTTCTTGATGCCGTTCAGTGAAATAAAGAATCAACTATTGCTCTTCTGCAAATCTTTGGGAAGCAGCTTAGAAATTCTTATTGAGATATTAACAGAGGAAACCATGAAACAGAAGGAAGGTGGAAGTTGCTGTCCAAAATATATAGGTCCAGTGCCTTTTTTCTGCACGGGTATTCATACCCCTAAACATTTTGTGAATCTAAGTTTGGCCTCACTGAGGGGCAGTATTGCAATATGAGTAGGAAAATGAGAGGGCCCCTCCCCTAAACATTTTTTTTAAAGAAAAAAAGCACTGTATGGGTGCTATGAAAAATCATGACAGATACAGGTGCCTAGTGAAGGTGTAGCAGGTGAGCAGAAAAGGGTTGCAAAGACTGATGGCCTTTGGTCTGTGACACATGAGATGCATGTTTTCAGGGCCCACGCAATTCCAGTGACTGTGATCTATTCTAGTCCACCCTGGGACCTGCTGGTGAAGGGTGGGTATTAGATATAACAACAACAACAACAGGAAGAGGAAGTTGTTAAAAGGGAAGAGCTGTAGCTCCATCATAGCCTGCAAGGAGAAGATTCCAGCTTCAATTCCTGGTCTGACCCTGCCTCTAACCCCAGAGAACTGCTGCCAGGCAGACTTGACAAAATTGAGCTACGTGGACCAATGTTCTGACTCGGTACAAGACAATTTTCTGTGTTCCTCCTACTTAACAGCTCAGAGCATGCAAGGGGATATACCGGTTTTCCAGGCTTGTTCGTGTAGTATCAGACCATGGTTTGATGTTACAGCTTGTGTTTTAAGGTTTATTAAGCCTGTTAGTGGAAAACATACCGCACTGCAACCCCCATTGATTTTAAAGGTGGAGAATGTGTGGATTTCACACCGCATAAAAATTGAAAGGAGAAGGGAGGGAGAGAGAGAGAGAGAGAGAGAGAGAGAGAGAGAAGGGACCTACTCAGAAGACAACAAAATTTATTTGAAACTACCACTAAGGCCCTCTGCTATCCAGAATCCCATCAAACAGCCCCATCAAACTTTATGTACAGGGACTTTGATTTCTTATATGTTCTGAGAAGTAATAATTAATTTGATTCAGAAACAATGTAACTCTTAAGTTTGATTCAGGCTTTTTACATTAGATTAGATACATTTTAATTAAATCTGACTTTTAAGTCTTTGTTTTGTTTCAGTTTGCTTGAGCAACTCCCTTTTTAAGCAAGGAAGCCTTACAACAGATAAATTAGACAAGCCCTTGTGTTTGATCCCCCATGGCCTTAGTGCTGTCTGGGAAATTTCTATCTTGAAGGGGAAGGATGAAAATGTGTTACCACAGATGGCATCGTGTTCTTGCTGCCTGGTGGAATCAGCACTCGGAGATCTGGTTTACGGTTGTTCATTCCCAAGTTCATGGGAGGAGGAGACTTTGCTTGCATATTCTTGTTCAAGTTGCCAGGTGAGACCAGCAGACCTGGTGAGTTTCGGGGGTTGCCATACCCGTTCCCTGTGGAATTTTGAAGAGAGAGAGAGAAAGAAAACGATAAGAGGAGATGCGGACTGAAAAACGCTTCTTCGGTACGTAGGCTGACACTCGAATTCAGTTAACACTAACATGAGCCCAGAAATATTGCAATCTCCTGTATATTCAGATTATTTCAGTGGTCCTGGAAGAAGAGACTGTGGCATGGGGTGGTTGCAGATTTCCCATCCCATTCAGAGCAGCACAATGTGGAATATAGTCGGATATTTGTCACTGTACACAATCCACCAGAATGTTCTCTTGCACCACCTTCCTTTTAAGAAATGAGAGCCACGCCATCTCCTGGCAATGATCGTGCACAGGTCCCATTTATCTCAGTGAGGCATGCATGAAAGAACACCCTGGCGGATTGTGTCTCATGTTAATTTGTGGGAGTAGGAGGAGAGGGTATCATTTGGGTTTCCCATCTCAAAGCCAGAGCTATGCAGAAGCACCTGAAATACAAGAGTTCATATCACATGGAGGACACCAACGGCGCATGGATGATAAGAAGCATCAGATAATGGAAACACTGTGCTCTTCTATGAAATTGTGGCCTCGGTACCAAGTGGAGCAATGGACTTGAAACGATTATTCTTTCTAAACATTCCCTAATTCAATAATACACTGACAGAAAAGGCAGGTGGTCCTATGTCACCATTATGCTGTGAATCAACCATACAAATAGAATCAGAAGACTTGCTAAGCTACTGAAGCACATAGTAGCCAAGAGTGATCAGCTGCCAAATATATTCTGTTAACACATGGGAGCTGCAACGAAAGGCTGTACAGTAGTGTGGTGTTGTTGCCCCGACAGCCTTGCCCTTTCCCAAGTTCCAAGTCCTGCATGGGACAGTCAGCATATGGTGGGGTCAGTCCTTATACAAATGTTTTTGGGGATCCCCTTCAGTTCCCCCAAGTTTATTTTTCTTCTTCTATGAGTTTTGGAACCCCCGAAATCTATCTCTTGCCCTTCAATGGTTCCACTTTAGCTACAAAAGGATCAGCACCTATTAGTGCTGATAATCCTGATAATTACCGTATTTTTCGCTCTATAACACGCACCAGACCATAACACGCACATAGTTTTTAGAGGAGGAAAACAAGAAAAAAAATATTCTAAATGAAACAGTGGATGTATGATTTTTGTGGTTCATGCTGTGGCCACAGACATGTGATCTGACAGTGAGTTTGGAGTAGCCCAATGCAAAAATCCTGAGGATCCATGTGGATCCATGCTTTGTAACCACGTTTTTGCACCACTGCGACCCTAGGCAACAGTGGGTGCGTGATTTTTTTGGTGCAGGCTGTAGCCATGGACATGCTATGTTATCTGATGGTGAATTTGGGGTGACCCAATGCAAAGATCCTGTGGATCCATGCTTATAAAAGTCCCTATTAAGGATAAAACAGACAGGATATACGAAGTATGATTTCTTTTTTATTTACGGTATTTCTTTTTTGGCCACCTCTGTCACTGCAACCTTTGCTCTGTGCTTGCACACTTTTGGGCAATAGGGCATGTAACACACTTTTTTTCATCTGCCAAGATGTAGAAAATCAATTTTAATGTCCCTATATAAAATGCCTAGTGAAGCAGAAGGGTATTACATCAGCCACTGTATTAAGGCTAAACGTTTGAAGAACAGCTCTCTATGGGGGGGGGACTAAATTCAATTTTCAATCAATTGTTATTGTGGCAGCAATTATCAGTGTATAACGCACAATGAGGAAATGAACTTTAAAAAATATATATAAAAAACATTCTCACGTTATACTTCTTCAAAGAAGAGTATTAGGCTTTTAATGAAGGGGAGAGGAGAGATGCTGTAATCCTCCTGGCTCAGGAGATTCTGATTTACCTGCCGCGTTAGAAAGTATAGATTAAGATATTTGATATACAGCATATAAATCCAGAGATTTCCATGTCTCACTCTGCAATCCAGCCTGCTGTTACTTACGAGCAGGGAAGCAGGGTTTCTCTTCCAAACAAGCATACTGTCTCCCTCCAGCAGTACATTGCTTGGAGAAGCTGTAATTTGGAGGGGGCCTGGGGGCAGGGCTCTCTGCTTTTGGAAAAGAAATGAGAAACCTACCATTGTAAAGCAAAAGTCCCCTCCACCCCACCCAAGCCAGCCCTCTCTCTCTCTCTCTCCCTCTCTCTCCCACTTGCGTGTTTTTCGGCTGCCTGCGAGTCCCTAGAGCACGGAGAGGAGGAGGTGGTGGGCTGGAGCCTGCACGGAAGGACTCGATCATTTCCTTAACCCTCTGCTTGCCAGGAGGGCAGGGGATTCCCTGCTCTTTGTTGAGTTTGAGCAAACACAGCAACAGAAGCGGGTGGGCAGTAAGACCCTGAGGCAGAATGCAGGAAAGCAACAGCTTCCGCCTTCCCTCCGCCCGCCCGCCGCCCGATCTTATTTTTGCCTATTTTGCCCCTTAGCTCCGGAGAGTCGGCTCCAGGGACCACACATTCGCTCAATAACACGCACAGACATTTCACCTTACTTTTTAGGAGAAAAAATTTGCGTGTTATAGAGCGAAATTTACGGTAGTAAATAGGATTATATACTATTCTCTTTTTGACCATATGCAGATCCAGAGCAGTTCCCTTATTCTGCACCCCAACTCTCCACCTCTCTATTGCTATGTGGATACAGCCTGAGGACATGACTACATGGGCCCCTGGCCTGATCCAGCCATCTCTTCATATATCATTTTTGCTGCTTCAAATTAGGCAGCAAATTGCCAGTCCTTACTTTTGCCCAGTGTAAGGAGGCCAAAAGTCAAATTCATCATCATAATCAGTTAAATTTCTATCCCATCCAAAAGGGCAGAAAACAACAGAACAGATTTTTTTTTAATCAAATGCAAATACTTTAAAATAGCAATGGCATCCTGTGTAGGGAAAAGACACCACATATTCTTCAATGAAAAACTGGGGAAATATCTTCGTAGCCTTCAAACTGGATACCCCTCTAGGAGCTCAAACGTCTATATCACAGCCCTGCCACAGCCTTATACTTGGAAAGCGTTTCTTACCACTTGACCAGGAAGCCATAAAACTCATTCTGTAACTCTCAGAGCCTAACCTACCACACAGGACTGATGCAAAAGTGAGGGGGGGGGAGAGACTGGGATATGCCCAAGCGCATGGCTGTGACCTCTCAGAAGGAGGCAGTTAGGAGTATATATACGCAATTAATAACAATGCGCATTATCCAACTAACTTGCTCTGTTGTCAGTGCAAGGATTTATGTCCATGTAACTGAACTTCCCTCCCCCCCCCTTGCCCAAATCTGCTCTGGAGGGTGGGGAGAAAACCCAGAAGAAATATGAGGAGGGCATGGAGTGCATTTTGTTGTGTTGGGTGGAGGGGTTTCCACTGGGCAAGTGCAAATCCTTGCACCGATGGAACAAGTCAGTTGGATACTACCCAATATCCCAGGTTTCTATTTCCCATTTCTCTCTGTAACTATAAAAAGATAGACAGCTAAGACAGACAGGCGGACAAAAAATGTGGGGGAGATTAAAAATAAAAGCCAAAACTTTTTTTCAAGGGTCCTAAGAGGTATCCTGGTGACCTTGGGAACAATTTGGGTTGCCCGAGGCAACCAGGTGATTGGATTATGCGCGCTTGTCATATAGTATCGAACACTGAACTGAATACAACCGAGTGTGCATTACTTAGAAGAAAGACGCTAACCTCAGACAATATTGCAGGGAGAGTGGGGGAGGAGAAGCAGAAAGAACAAAAGAAAACCCTTCTTGGATCAGGCTGTTTTCATGGACAAATACAAGAGGATTCTGCTTGACTCACTCCTCCCCCCCCTTCAGGTTTTTTTTTTGTTTTGAAACAAAGGAAAGTGCAGCAAGGCTATAATTTCCATGGTGGGGGGTGAAAGGCGGGTGGGGGGGGGGGAGAAAGAGCAAAAAACAACTGGAGGAGGACTAGGAAAATTCTTCAACGCTTCTCCGTCTTGCCTCTCTCCCTTCCTCCACCTTCAGAGCTCGATCCTGAACGCTGATTTCAGCAGGAGGAGTTGGCTGTGTGATTTTGAAAATACCCCTCTATCTCATCTCTGCTGTCTTTTGCTTTTAAGGCTTTTACATCCTGACATTCAAGCATCTCCGTATTGTGCTAATTTGGTGCTTTCAGAAGCAGCCCCTTCTCTTTCTGCAACTGCAATAATAACAATGATAACGGCTGGCACGGCACTGCAATTAGCACCTTCTCCCAAGAAGCCCAAAAGCTGGATCCACCTTCTCGCCCATGAACGCCACTCAGGGAAAAGGAGACGCCTACTAAAAAGAAGAAGAGGAAGAAAGCCCCAAAGCATATTTACTCCGGGACTGGCTTCCCAACTCTCCTCCTTGGGGCTTATGCTCACATTTCATTTACTCTCCCTCCCTCCCTCCCTCCTTCTCCCCCAGCGACTTCTGTGCCAAAAGCCACCTGCTGTGCGGTTGCCTAGATAGCTGGAAGCCTCAAATCTAAGGGCACATTTTCAAGGCCACCAAAAGAGTTAGCCTTTAATCACCCTGTGTTTCAGAGAACTCCAGTGGAACATGGAATCTTGAAACCCTGATAGAATTATTTGAAACATACAAGTCTGAGATGGTGCTTAATAGCAGGGAATCGACAGTGTGCGCCGAAGAAAGTCTCCCAAACTCTCTCGCAAGAAACACAGACACAGAGAGCTACTGGGCAAATACAAAGAAAATAGGCTTGCTTCACATTTGCCAAGGGTAAGATAGTTAAGACTAAGGCAGAGGTGGCCCTCCGGTTGTGGCTGGACTGCAACTCTGGTCACCCTGGCCATTGGCTACGCTGGCTGTGGGGATCATGGGAATTGGAGTTCAACAACACCCGCAGGTTAGCCACCCCTATTTAAAATCTAAATCACACTTCAATGTAGGAAGACTTCTTTAAAAAGGCAGCAAATTGCATGGCAAATCAGTGCTTTTAGACCTAACCAGTCAAATAA